GGAGTTATTTACGGCTTATTATTTTATGCAAGTTGCTGCATTCTTGCTTCTACACAGGACAGATCTGTGAAATCTCAGAGACTTCTGACACTAGATAAATATTTCCCCCATACATCATTTCTGTTCCCGTGTGTGAAATGTTCTCTGCCTTCTAGTACTACAGCAGGATGGCAGTGGGAATAGTCTCATAATGGTAACACAGACAAGGTATTAGCTGGAACCTCAGATTAGGTATGTGGACAAAGCAGTCATATTCAAACCAATGAGTTCTGTGAAAGTACACATCACCTCCCCAGAAATAAAGCTGAATTAGTAAGCTTTCCTTCCTTGTTCTATAAGCACATTAAGTAACCACTTAATGATTTCACTAATGATTATGATACAAGTTTTCAGTATACCTTGGATTTCTCCTCATCATCAAACACAGGGTTTTTGGGACGAGGTGGAGGAGAAGGAATCAGAGTTTTGTCTGCAGGAATCACAGGATCAAACATAACAATCCCTGAAAGCAGAAAAGGAATCCACGTGGGTTTCCACACGCGGTCACACCAGGCAGTGCACCCAGTTATTCACAGGCTGCTGTTCTAACCAACGATACAGGCTCAAAATCCCTGAGAATGCTGGCTAGTAAAATAAAGTAACTTTTCTTTGATAAAGGCCAAAACCCCAGCAACTATGTTGCCATGTCCATACTGCTCCTCTAATAGCTCAATACAACCAACAGCTCTCCATGATTTCTCTCTCCCCCTTTCATATTAGCTGTTGAACCACTAAGTGACATCTCAGACCACCCAGCTTTGTGCAAACTCAAGGGCATGACATTTGTTTGTATAGCTGAGCAGGAAAGCAGACACCAATGCAAAACACGGCGATGATCAGACTCCTAACCACGAGCACGGAAAGAGCTAAGCTCCCTGCTTGTTCCATTGTCAAATCCTTAGATTTGTGCTCTACTTCAAGAGCTTTCCTGAAACCAATTTTTCTTGTGTTGAAGTCGCATGCTACTCAGCTGAGCTTTTTCACTGTGCCTACACAAGAAATTTGTATCAGTTGAACTACAGGTACAATTTTAAAGCAATCTAGTTAAAAACACAAAAGGCTACATAGAGGCTCTTATTTCGCTTTAAATTAGACTTGTTCAAATCGTTTAATAACTAGTTCCAGAAAAAACTCCAAAAAGGCCCTGCAAACCAAAACAAAAGTATTTGCAAGGTGTTGAACTAATCTAGTTAAAAAAATCCAACCCAGCCCAAGGCATTTAAACACAATGAGAAGCTTTTCAGAGCGTTTCTCCCTTGTTCTATCTCCCCTCAGAGCTTGCCTTGACACCATGTAATTAGAAGCTGCGTATTTTGTGACACTCCTGGTTAAGGCACAGGCTGGAGAGAATGCATGAACGCATGACTTCCTACCTTGTCGCTTCAGCATGTAGTAGGCATCCTTGATTTTGGATTCTTCTGGTAATGCCACTGTCCAACTGTACAGCAACTCAATGACTTTGGTCTTCACCTTCTCTGAGACTCGGTCTCCCAGGTACTAAGAGTGGAAAAAAGATATAAATTCTCCACATCCTTCATTTCTTTTTAGAAATAAAGCCCAAACCCAAAGAACGGGAGTTCAGTGATATACATTAGAAAGTGTATAATCCCAGTTCCAAGATGCTTTACACACCTTATTAAGACGAAAAAATGCTCCTCTAATATATCTGAAATAATAGTGAAGAGAAGCTTTGTGACTATCTTCAGCGAAAGAAAAAGCAGCTGTTCTGGTGGTTTCAGGATTTTGCTATTTAAAAAATTCCAGCAATACAGACAACCACCTCCTCTCCTGTCTTATTGGAAAGAATCTGGGAATACTCTGCTGCACCAATCATGCCATGGGGTGCCTCAGTCTATTTTTGACCATGTTAAACTGATCATGAACGTTGAGGGACTTAGCCAGGCACTCGACACAGCAAGTCAGCAGCAGAGTGAAGATGAGAACTCAACGGAGTGTTGCCAAGACTCTTGTTTTAACCTCTGCATCACACCTCTCCTCCACTGACACTGGAATTTTGTTTGGGTTTTTTTTGAAAAACACAGGTCAAGCTTTAGAACAGCACAGAGACTGCATATTGATGGTAAATAAGTACAACTTACTGAGAAAAATAGTAAGCATAGCACAAAAAAAACCCCTGAGCTAACAAATGCTCTTGGATCTAGGCTAATAAATGCAACGAGCTAGACAGAGCACTGCAAACATTTTGAATGTTGCCTGCAGCTTGCAGAGGCCAAACCAAAAGTAAATACAGCCATAAGGCTCAGGGACTAACCTTTGGAGACACAACTTTTATTAACTCGTTTAAAAAGCGAAACTTCCCCACTTCATTATGAAATCTTCTCCCACAATTCTTCATACAAGCCTCCAGCACCTGCATTCGAGTAACAAAAAGAGGGGTTGAAACGAACACCAAACCTCTTCAACAACAGAGTAGCTGTGTTCTGCTCTCAGAGGAACGAAGGGACCCACATCAGAGAGACACACGTTCCTGCTCTGTGATAGAGGCATGAACCTCCCGTCTTCAGGGGTGACACATCACGACAAGCTGTTCTCCCACCCTCAGCTATGAATATCCGGGTCAGTTATCTCACCATTAGGTCTTGCACAATGAACACAAATCTTACCTGAAGATAACAAACGGAAGCGGTTGAAACTAAACCAGAGTTATTTCATAGAATCACAGAATGGTTAGAGTTGGGAGGGACCTCAAAGATCACCTAGTTCCAACCCCTCTGCTATGGGCAGGGACACCCTCCACTACACTGGGTTGGTCAAAGCATTATCCAACCTGGCCTTGAACACTTCCAGGGATGGGGCAGCCACAGCTTCTCTGGGCAACCTGTTGCAGTGCCTCACCGCCCTCTGAGCGAAAAATTTCTTCCTTATTTCTAATCTAAATCTCCCCTCTTTCAGTTTAAATCCATTGCCCCTTGTCCTATCACTACACACCCTTGTAAAAAGTCCTCTCCAGCTTTCCTGTAGGCCCCCTTTAAGTACTAGAAGGCTGCTTCTGACTGCTTTATCACTGATGAGCAATCTGGACACTTCAGTTAAGTAACTGTGCTCCCTCTCACTGTCCACTCCCTTCAGCAGAAGGGAATCAGGGCATTCGGCCCAAGAACTAGCCCCAGCTGACCCCACTGACACACACTGCCCCCTTACACTCCGCAAAGATGATGTCAAATGATACAGAACTGGATTTAAGAGGAGGGGTAAGGACTACCTACTGTCAAGGCCTGGACCGCCTCCCATTCCTGTGGCGACTGGATTTTATGAGCCAGAAGTCTCACGGCTATCTGTGGCCTGAAACAAAGCAGATCCCCATTACAAACAAAGCAGGCAAACACGCTGAAGGACTTTCAGACTTTCACAAATTCGACTGTTTAAATGATATGCCTTTCACATAATTAAAAGGAAATGTCATTTAGTACTTTTCATCTTTCCAACAGTGTACAAAGGCTAATGAAAAACGTTCAGGGCATCTCCATAAGCCTGGGTGTTCGCACATACGAAAGGAAGCGAGGGCTGGTAGTCTGAGCCAGCACTTCTAGATTCCTGCTTGGGAGAGGCCAAACAACTCCCAGTACAGCTCCCAGCCCAGGAAATCACTTCATTTCTCTTGCATTAGTTTCCTTCTTCCAGAAGAAAACACTTCTTCCTTAGCTCACAGGAATGCTGTGACCCAGAAGGCTTTCTCAGTTAAACCTTGTGAAGATTTTAAAGCCATGAAGCCCCACCAGGCACTAGCAGTTATAACCCCATTTTACAGACTGGCAGACAGACTGGGTTTGGCCAGATGAGAACCGTGTAGCTGCAGAAGCTGACGTTAGAGGCGGACTCAGAATTCTCTTTTCCCTAGCACTCAGTCTGTGTGCAACTCCTGCTACCTCACACGAAAGAGAAACCACACTTCGCAGTACCTTGTTTCTTTTGCAGACAGATCTTCCTTGCAACATCAGTATATATAAAAGCGGAAGTTTGATGACCAAATGATACATTTTAAACTGTGAATGTCAGTTTATTAAGTCTAGAGCAGTTCGGGACACCCACCCTTCAAGTTCTTTGTTGATCTGGTCACAGAACCCGATGATGTATTCCCAATCTTCTTGCCTGTTAGATGGGTTAGTGGCTTTATCTTTATTAAGTTTTAAAGAGAACATATTACCAATCAAGCAGAAGAAACAGTACAAAAGGTCATGCATTTCCTAGACAAAAGCATTTGACATCCATTGTCAACTATAAAAAAGGAGAAAGAAGTTCACACGTGGTATGTCTGATCAGGGAAAAGGCTGCGTCCAAGTCAAGACGTCCAAATATCCAGCAAGAACCACTGCTTTCCAGAAAAACAGGGGCCAAATCTCAAGTACTTCGAAATGCACTATTTCCACATTCTAAATGAGATTAGAAGATAAAATATTTGAGCTCACCCAGTTTCCCTCTGCCTGAAACACTATCTCTTTCTATTTGGCTGTAACGTTAAACTTTGTAAAGGCTAAACCCTCACACTTTCTACATAGGAAGCTATTTTTATATTCCCTGGGAGTTTTGTAGAAGGAAGAGCTGGAACATCAGATGTTTAATATAAGTCGTTTAGCATTAACACTTGTTTTTAGAGTGCCAGCTGACTTGTTAGATGCCTTAGCATTTCTCCTGGGAGTTACAAACTGGAAGTTATTATTATACCTTGAGTTGTTCTTGAAAGTAATCAACACCACAGCCTGTACCTGGCCAGGAATTCAGATCCTGTATGCTCCAACTCAGAGACCCGTGCCCTAACGACGGGGCTATTTCAGACTCCTGAAGGATCCTCCCTCAGGTACCAGGACCTCCTTTACTGTGCTGATTGCAGAATAGTGAGGCTATCAGCATCTTTTTTTTTGTCATAAATGCATCTTCTCTGTGTATTCTACTCAACTCTGATGGAGCACTGAATTTGCAGTAGACAAGATTCCTGCTTTAACCTATTTTTCCAGCCAAGATGACCGGACATGGTAATTTTTCTTTCTTCTAAGGGAAGAAACAACACTTCATAGCTATCTATCTAAGGGCTGGCATTTAAGAAGCCTTCCTCAAAACTTTAACGAATGGAAATAGATACAGAAAAGAAAATATTTCTTAGCTAGACAGTACAGAGCAGAGGATAAAGAACAGGAAAAAAACCAGCATACATTCTTGTACTTTCATCATCTAGGTAAGCATAACAGAATAAACGCATGCTACATTACAAAGTGCCATCTTCTATCAGCATTAAACCATATCCTTTCGCCTTTCCACAGGCAGATAAAAACAACTATCAAATATCTACTTTGAAACCTCACTTTCACAGGGCACCTTATCCTCCTACTGTGGCAGTCCCAGAAGGTTCGCTTGTATTTTCCTCCTCACAAAAGGCTAGTTGTAAAGTAATTTTGTAAATTTTTCCACGGATGGCATCTGCAGAGGTGAATCTGTGCCCGCTGCTGACTTCCACGGGACCCTGGATAAGCAAAAGGTGGTAGCCAGGGAGGACGAACTGCAGGATCACATCCTGCACTAGCGAAGCTACTGAGCTATTTTTTGAAGTTAGTTTAAAACACAGCTGCTGCAGAGCCAAACAACTGTTCAAAACATATGTGGCACTTAAACCTTATTGCCACATTCCCAAGTGCTGAGCACCCTGGAAGCAACATGAAACCGTGGACTTACAACGATCCAAAGTGTTTTCTTGCAAATCAAATGGCATTGTGCACGGTTCGGTGCTCCAAAGCACCTCGGCTGCTCTGCAGGCCCAGATAAAAGAAATACAGCTCTTGGCTGGAGTTAATGGGATTTATTTAATATATACAGGAAGCACAAACAAGTAAAGACATTCAACTAAATGAATTATTCCTTGGTTGTACATCCTGATTTTAGGAAAGAGATATGGAACAAATAGGAAAACGTAACCAATATTTCCTCGTCAAGCATTATTTTTAAAGCTGTTCCAAATATCTCCAAAGATTTCTTGGAATGACACTGGATTTTTTCACACTCTCAGATTGGGTTCAGATTCATCTAATTTTTTTTTCACCAAAAGCTCTCACACAAAGATAGTAAAGTCTCAGAGGCAAAGACAGACTACTGAAGGGAAGTTATGTTCCACGTGAAGAAACTCCCTATTTTTACCATTCATAAAATCTCCATACTCTAGTTCATAAAAGTTAATAAGCTTGACCAGAAGTCCTGCCCTGGCTCTGGAGACTGATGTGCCTGCATGACACAACGCAACGGTGCGTATGGATACTTATCACCAATCTCAGTACAGACACATGAACACAGCATCCCACACAAGCTAAATCACCTTGCTTAACCTTTTCAGGACGTTGCTATCTGAAGCTGCATCACATCTACCAAGGCACAACCTAAAATCCTCTATTTTTATGCAGAATACTTAAAATGTGGGTAGGAAGCTCCTCTGCATTGCCTTATAAATATGCCTCAACCCTTACATGAAAGAGTTCCAGGAGGAAGAGTTTGGTGCCCTGGAATATTAAATCCTTGGTTCCTCTGTTGAAACTGCTAACAAAGGCCCTTTTGGTACCAGTTACAAAGTTTGCTTTCAGAGACACTTGCCACCAGGTCTCATCCTGAAAATCCCATTTCATATTGGCAGCCAAGTGAATCTGAATTAGCAACCTGGGAACACAAGTCTTACCACTACCCCAGTCCTGCCACCATCTCTGCCTTGGCTTTCAGACACCACTGCACCTAGGACACATAAAGTTGCTTCGTGTTTGACCTGAGCCTGAGCCCTTCAGCCCTCAGCTGCTCTGCTAAAACCCCAAAATGAGTCAACATTCAGATGCATCACTAGATATGAAACAAAAGTGCCCATTTTCTCTACAGAGAAACAACTGCTGGAATGCAGAGAACCACAAAACATTAATTGACTGGTAATGAATGCTGGGTTTACTTCTCTACCCAGACAAAAACCATCCCAACAAAGGGTTTCCCCAGGTCAGGCTTAGCGTATGAATTGGGAATCCCCAGCCCAAGCATGTTTGAGTCTAACAGTTGGATTCTGTTTGTATCCCTGGGAGAAGGAGAATGCTGACCAATGACAATATAAGGAAAAAAAGAAATTAAGACAACCGTAGTATTTTATCCATCTGCATCTGTTACATAGCTGGACATTGTCTAAACCTGACATATATGACACAATGAAGTTTCCTTTTGGATGCAGCAGAAAAGGCAGTGCTAAAGTCAAAGGATCCAGCTGTGTTTGTACAACTGACGTTATTTTCTACCCCCCTCTTCTATTTCAGCTAAGTGCAGAAGACCAGCCGGCAGGGAGAGAACAGAAGGGATCACGTTCTTTCATCCCAGCTGCCTGAAACAAGGCAGGAGACATGAAGATGCTAGATCATCACTGGCTGAAGTGCAGATCTTGCTGCAGTATTAGGGCACGAGGATGATGTTACTTCACGGGTCTATGCCTCCACCTGATGACAGAGACAGGGCAGTGTGGAAGGCTGCATCCCACCGGTACAGGAGAAAAAAAAAAAAACACTGGCAAGAAGAAATTTTCCATCTTTCCGTGACTGGGAAGTTGGCTGTGCTGCTGAGCAATTGTGGCCCTTTAGTGAGGGCACGGCAGGTGCACGCCCTCAAGGTTAGTGTTAGACACAGCACAGCTTTCTGATGGTTACAAGAAAAAAAAACCTCCGGAGGCCTGGTGAAAGCACTCAGATGCACCAGCCTTTGCACTCTGCCTTCCCAGTCTGCACGACTCCTCCAGTAATTCACGTACACGAACACTCCGTGCTCCCCTACAATGGGAGGAGCAACACAATCACACCAGCACAAACCACTGTAGCAGTGACCAGGCATAAATGCATCAATGCATCCTCTTGAATGACAGACCACCGCTCGAGCCTTGAAAAACGTGAACGGCTCTGCAATCAGGCCCACTGCAATATTTCTTACAGTGAGTAAGGCCTCTGCAACACTACCTTTTAGCACTGTTTTCCGGTGATAGAATATCCTACTGCTTGGCCAAGGGAGATAACTTCTCTCTTAAATTCCACAATTAAAAAATAACCCCAAGAAACAAACAGTCAGGAAGCTTTCCAGGCTACACAACCTAAAATATCCTTCCTACTAGAGATATTTTCACACACTGACTGAACTTGGTGAGTCAGTTCTCCTCAGAGGAAGATTAAAAGGAAGGGATGTGGGTGTTTCTTCATGTGTCTCACTGGCTACAATAAAAGATATTGACAAACTGTGGGAGTTCAGAGGAGGAGCAAAAACAGTAAGGGGACAGAAGGGATTGATCTAAAATGAGAAGTAAGAGCTGAAAACATAATTTAGCCAGTAACTCCTATAACAGATGATGATACCATGAGTGTGGTTGAATTTTATGTAAAAATACCACGAAAGACCAAGAATTATTTAATCTTGTTTATGGAAGGATAACTCCAAAGGGGTAACAGATTTCATACTTTAAGGTATTTAAACTAACGACCATTTTCTGCTGTTTGCCTAGCGCCCAACTACTCCAGAACTTCACTCACTGCTGTAATCACACAAATAACTATCGAAAGGAGACGAAAATCTAGACAACAAGCTGGTGATGCGTAGGATAGCCTCCCAGGGACAGCAGCAGGAGCCCTTGTGCATAGATTATATGGAAAACAATTACTGTTACAACTGATTCATTCAAGAATCACCTCCCAGTCTGCCAGCACTGGGTCGGGATCCTGCAGGGCCAGGTTCCGTCGCACCAACAGCCAGCCGACCCTCCGGCAGCACGGACAGCCACACAGTGAGGAGACACTCAGCAAAGGCTGGTGATGAACAAGCTATGTTTGGTGTTTTTTTTTTTTCCCTGTGTCTCTAACGTTTAAGATTCTGTGATAAAAAATATCTCCTCTTGACAAATGACTTCTGAGTATTCCAGTTTGTGCGGATGGACACCTCTAACTCCCACCCTGAAACGGCAGCTGGGCATAAAGCAGAACCGGTCTGCCCGAAAAGCACGGTTGTGTAACGCACGAGTACAATTTATTTGGGAAATGC